GTTCTGGGATGATCTCACGACTCCGAACGGTTCCCTACTATCCTTACGGAGACACTGGAAAGCGTTTGAAGAGAACTCTACGCCGAGGCCGAACTATCGTCTGCGAAGGTAAACGAGTCGATCTTCAACCGCAAAGTGTACCGTTGGTTAAGCTGGTCCAAAGGAGCGTGTTGTTCTGGTTATAACAGACAAATTCCCTCACCCATCTCTCTCAACTTAAACTTCATTTCCATCTTTAAACTCTTGTATCTTGCTAGTAATTAATCCAGATATTTTCAGAAATGTCTGTTGTAAAGCTTGAACCCAGATACCATGGCCGTATGGTCTCTGAAAGCTTGCTAATTAATTATGTTGTTGTTGAAACCAATTTGCCAAATTAATGTAAATGTTTGATGTTGAACTTTGATTCTGTTAATAAATGACCGCATTCATTTGATGGGTCAAAGAAAATTAGCGTCTCACGTTACATTTTAATTTCAATGCACGATATTATTCAGTCCAGAAAAATGAATGAATCCATTTAATTTATGGATAATATATCACAGATATATGTTCCTCTACAATGTGCTGCTCTTATGAAAGAGTATTCTCCTTGCACGGGACGTGGCGGTTATCCAGCCGCCGACAAGGTCATGCAAGGTAAGAATGAGCACCCCAGGGCATATTATTCCAGGATTTTGCAGGCTTATTTTGGTTACAGGAACGAGGACAACATGGAGGAAGAGGAACCGTTTAAGTACGTGTTCAGCAAAAATCTCCACCCTGACATAAGGATGTCAGTGCAAATGATGGCTAATTTTAAAGAGAAATCCATCAGTGAGATAAAAAGTTGTGCTGTGAATGTCTTTGAAACACGTTCACAGGCCAAAACACCTATTGAGGTGTACCCAGGTGAGAGGATTCCTGCCCAGTCATTAGAATTGGAAGGGATGAGAGCTTCGGCTCCCCCTCCCAAAAAAGGCGAGAGGAAACGAGGTTTCCCAGCAGTCAAACCACAACAGGTGAGTGCCCCCTGGTCCAGACGAGATCCTAAACGGTTTCCCAAGAAACCAAAGAATGAACGGATGTACCAGAAGGGGGATGAACGCCCTAAGGGTAAAAAGTATGGCACCAAAAGTGGCCCATACAAACAGGGATCCCACTGGGAACCCCAAAGGGGGGGTACTGTTTCCCCACCACGTTGGGCTGAACATCCTGAGACGAAAAAGAAACAGTAGCAGGTCCAGAAAGAGAACCGCAGTCCTCTGAACTCGGACGAGACAGACAGGGTGCGTTGGTTGTTGGACTTGTTGGAAGGTGTTGCCACGGACAAACAACCTAATGCTTTGTTTGGCGATATCATTGCTGATAAGTCAGAGCACGCAGACAACACCGTTACTACTGTCACAGACAGTCACTATCACGCTGTTGTTGTAAACTCTGACACGCCCTCACCTGAAGTAGGGGGGGTAACAATCACACATCACCGACGGTGACCCGTCACGAACTGAAACCTCAGAAACAGCAATAGCTGTGCTAACGGTTCAGTCAAACCAGGGTGACACAAACAACAACACTGCCGCTGTCATGGACAACCACCAGAACCTTGTTGTTACAAACAATGAGAGCCCCTCAACACACGGTGAGTGGGTGATCTCATACATCGATGACAGACGCCCGTCAAGAGCCGACCTCTCAGGAGCAGCAGCAACTACACCAACGGTTCGGAAAAAACAGGATTACACAGGTGAAGGTAGACGTGAGAAGACACGTCGGCCAAAACCTCCAAGGTTCCTGTGTAACCTGATCAGAAAGGGGGTCGCTGAGAAAGCTTACCTGTCGATCACACTTGAAAGGGTCGTCACACATGAAGCCCTACTAGATGGTGGAGCCGACATGACTATTATGTCAGCCAAACTGTTCGAGGAGCTCAGGACTGCCGCTAGTAGTGTTCACAGGGGAATACCTCTCATAGAATGTGCTATAGGGCTGCAGGGCCTTGCAGAGATGAAGACAACCCTAACAGCTATAGCTGTGGTTCACATGCAGGTTGGCGAGATGACACTATACCACCCGGTATATGTGTCTCCGGTTGACTCATTCCCATTTTTGGTCGGCCAGGATTTTATGAATCGCTTTGAAGCGATTATAGATTATGGTAAACAGACAATGTGGGCTAGAGTGGGGGAGTGGTGGCGCAGAGGTTAGAGAGGTGGGCTTGTGATCCGAAGATCGCCGGTTCACGCCCCGGCCCCGACAACATCAAAATTGTGGGTGGGGTAAGGTGAAACACCCACACTTGCCCCCACTCTCATTCGCCCCACTCTGGGCCCATGAGCAAGGCCCTTAACCCCCACCATGTGCTCCCTAAACAGGTCTCTCTTGAAAATGAGTTCTCGTGGCTCATTGAGACTAACCTGTATAAATAAAGGCTAAATGAAAAAAAAAAAAAAAATAGATTGAGCAAACCCCTGCCAATACTCATGCCTCCTGAGACAGTCACCGACTGCCCAACAGCAGGCACCGAGGACCTCTCAGCAGAGAACACAGTCCCGGTAAGTTATCCTTCAAAAGCATGTGAAACCAAAAACACCCAACCGGTGAACCCAACCCTGACTGAACAAGTAAGCCTCCTCTGCGAGCTGAGACAGTCAGGGCCCACCGGATACTACCTACCATTGGTAGTTCAAGGAAACAATCCAAGGATCCCACACCAAAGATGCTGTACTGTCGTCGGTGACAGATAAACCAGCTATCAAGGACGGAGCCGTGGTCGGCCCTCAGAGGTCCTTTGACCCCTCCGGGCTGCTCGCAACTCTGCCAGTAAAACCTACAGCTGAGGTAATGGCAGTCACACGTGCACAGGCTACAGCCAAGCCGGCTGACAACACAGTCTCTGTACAACCCGTGCTGACTGACCCAGACATCATCCAACTTCAGAAGTCGGATCCTGCAGTAAACTCGATGATGTTGTCTTTGACTGACCCAGAGAAAAACACTCTGTCCGAAGCCAACCTGGATTCCAATCCAGACCTTAAAGCTCTCTTTCAGCTGCGCAAACAGCTGAAACTACTCAAGGGCATCCTAACTTTAGCTCATGGAGCGATGCCCTCACCCGTGTTCGTGGTCTCCCATGATGAAAGGGGGGTGACGTTAGTTAGGGTAATGTTACCAGACGCGATAACGTGATCAAATCTGACAATCAGTGTGAGTGACGCAGTGAAACATTGTTTTCTAGTTGCTTAATCACTACTTTTGTCAATGTTGAAGCGTTGTTTTTCTGGTTGCTTAGTCACTATTTTTGTCGATGTTGAGACATCGTTTAATGGGTTTTTGGTATTGTTTCTGAACACCCCCAGCAAGAATGAATTTTGTGTGTACTTTAGTTAGAGACTAAGAGGACTTTAACTATGCCAACATGCAGTTCATTTGTTAAAATTCAGTCATTGAGGAGTCAATGTAGATTAATGCTACCTTAAGTAACCTACATTGGTCTCACGACGCTCAAGCCGAACCTACTCGAACAATCCTATTCGGGGGGGGGGGGGGGGGGCTAGCTAATCCTTTAGTTTAGTCTCGCCATAGACTCCAAAAAACATTTAGGGGAAAACCAAAAAACCAAACCTCAAGTCGTTCGTCTAAAGGGACAACAGACAATTGAACCAAACTATATATTTGCCATGTAAGCCTAACTTAAACCAAGTTAGGGATGGAAAAATAGTTTGGAATGCCCTTCTATAGGTATAAATCCCTATATGAAAAATTTTCAGCATGACCCACCCTTTAAACTGGTAACTTTAGCTGATCTAAACCATGATAGCTTACACACCAGGTGCATATAGGTTAAGGTCTTATGTAAAATCCCACTCATAAGCCCAACTAAAACCACATAAATGCATGACACATAAAACCAGAATGGCACCCACTGGGAACCACCAGTAGCAACCTTCGCTGAAGGGACGTACAACTCCAACGTGGGTCTCCAATCTTCATCCAGTGGTTGCCTCTGCAGTTCAATCGAGGGAACCCCTCTGCATGCTGATCAATCAACACCTCCAATCATTGTGGATTTATCGTTGTGGATTATATGACTTTTTTCCAATGGATTACAGACTTTGTTTCCAAGGGGTTAAAGCATTGCTACAATGGAATTACCAACAACATTATGGAATTACCTAAACCGTTGTGCGATTACCTTCTTTGACTTTTGTTTTCCTCTTGTTGGATTACATCAAGCTCAAGGACATTCGGAGGCGTAAGTTCATGTTGGAATTCATCCCCATGGACAGGTGATGATTTCCAAAGGGGGGACTGTAGTGAACTCAGCCTCCGACCAAAACCTGCCTCTGAAGACCTTCATGGGACATTAACTGTTATTTCATTGATTTGAATCCAGAAATACAAATTAGCTCATCCAGAGACTGTCTAATTGTATCCTGAAGTAATCAATTGAAAGAACACTCTTCTTTTATATTATCATTACTATTTTACAATATCTTGATAAATCAAAAGTGTGTTTAGTTCATACCATTTTTAAATGTTGAAGTGAACCACTCATTTTAAATCAACTGTGAAACAGTATTAAGGATTTTTTAATCCTCATTTAAATTAGAAATCAAGTTAAATGTCTATTTACTAAGTAATTATGCATTTTGATCTTCTGTCTGAAATGAGAAGTAGTGATGTCGGTCAAAAGTCGGAGACAATCAAAAACAAGTTGTTAGAACGGGCTGTATTGTTTTTAAAACTGTCAGACAGTAAATAAGAAACTGGCACCTGCAGTGTTTCTCACTTCGC